ATTATGTGAAGGATGCTTACTTGGAAAGCATTCGAGAAAAAGTTTTCCAAAAGAAGCATCTACAAGAGCTAAGAAGCCGCTAGAACTGGTACACTCCGATGTTTGTGGGCCAATTAACCCAAGCTCTCTCGGTAAGAGCAATTATTTTGTTCTTTTTATTGATGATTTCAGTAGAAAGACTTGGGTCTATTTTCTTAAACAAAAATTGGAAGTTTTTGAAACTTTTAAGAAGTTTAAAGCTCTTGTTGAAAAAGAAAGCGGATATAGTATAAAAGCCTTGAGATCGGATAGAGGAGGAGAGTTCACCTTTAAAAAGTTTGAGAAATATTGTGAGGAGAATGGAATTCGTCGTCCATTGACGGTTCCATACTCTCCACAACAAAATGGAGTAGCAGAAAGAAAGAATAGATCCATTCTTAACATGGCCCGCTGTATGCTCAAAAGTAAGAGATTGCCCAAAGAACTTTGGGCTGAAGCTGTTAATTGCGCCGTGTATCTATCTAACCGATCACCTTCTAGAAGTGTGTGGAATAAGACACCACAAGAAGCATGGAATGGAAGAAAGCCTAGCATCTCTCACTTATGAGTATTTGGGAGCATTGCATATGCTCATATATCAGATCAAAAGCGGTCCAAATTAGATGACAAAAGAAGTTAGATGACAAAAGTGAAAGGTATGTCTTCATCGGCTATGATTCTCGCTCTAAAGGCTACAAGTTGTATAATCCAAGCAATAAGAAGATCACCATAAGTAGAGATGTCGAGTTTGATGAAGAAGGAGCTTGGGATTGGGGTGTCCAAGAAGAAGACTATGACTTTTTACCATTCTTTTATGAAGAAGAACAAAAGAATGGAGAGCAGCAAGAGATTATCAGTCCACCTCTATCACCTACTTATGGAAATGCTTCTCCATCATCTTCACAAGGAGAAAGTTCAAGCGAAAGGACACCACGGATGAGGAGCCTACAAGAGCTATATGAGGTAACCGAAAATCAAAATGATCTCACACTTTTTTGTCTTTTTGTCGATTGTGAACCAATAGGGTATGAAGACGCGGTGCAAAATAAAAGATGGAGAGATGCTATGGATGAAGAGATTAAGGCTATAGAGAAAAATGACACGTGGGAGCTGACAACTCTTCCCAAAGGAAAGAGAGCAATCGGAGTTAAGTGGGTGTACAAGGCAAAAAAGAACGCTAAAGGAGACGTAGAAAGATACAAAGCAAGATTGGTTGCCAAAGGTTACAACCAACGGTCGGGAATTGATTATGAAGAGGTATTTGCTCCTGTTGCTCGTTTAGAAACCATAAGATTAATTATCTCTCTTGCAGCGCAAAATAAGTGGAAGATATTTCAAATGGACGTGAAATCAGCTTTTCTAAATGGTTATCTCGAAGAAGAAATCTATGTGGAGCAACCAATGGGTTATAAAGTAAAAGGACATGAAGGTAAAGTCTTGAAACTAAAAAAGACTTTATATGGGTTGAAATAAGCTCCAAGGGCATGGAATAGTAGAATTGACAAGTATTTTCTAGAAAATAACTTCACAAAATGCCCTCACGAGTATGCCCTTTATACAAAGGTAAATGAGAAAGGAGATATTTTACTTGTTTGTTTGTATGTAGATGATCTTATATTTACAGGAAATAATCAAAGTATGATTATTGAGTTTAAGAAGGTCATGGCTCAAGAATTTGAGATGACGGATATCGGCCACATGGCCTACTATCTTGGGATAGAGGTAAAGCAAATGGAGGACTGCATTTTCATCTCACAAGAAAGATATGCGAAAGAAATTCTAAAGAAATTCAATATGGAGGA